GGATGTCAATGCTATTTACATGCAGTCAAACCATCGGTGACCGATTAACAAACATCGCTTTACTCAGTAAGCGACAATGTTCCCACAAGAAGACAACTTTGGAAGAATAGTACTTTGGAGTCACTTCTAACATGGTGAGTATAGGGAGATCATCAGACGGATCAGTCCTATAACATGAAAGAGATCCTGGGTGAGTCTGATGGAATCTATCAACATACTCAGACTCGAAAGGGAGTCATACCTCCCATTAACTATCAGAAGTTGGCTAAAGAAATTGAGTCTGATGATGAACACTTAGCCATCGTAGAATCTCAATCTTTTAGCTCTTTTACAGAACACAAGACCTTTATTTATATGGCAGGATATCTTAATGATCTTATGAAGAGACTTGATGAGCAGCAAGCCATGCTCAAAGCACATAAGGAGGCTATTAATAAACTTTGGGTCTTAATGGCTCAAATTGAAGCAGATAGGGCCAACTCTCCAAAAATAAATTCGCCATCCCAGCTCAAATCTTCCCGAAGAGCAGGATCATTTTCATCGAAGGGGAAGGAAAAAGCAATTGAGACTTTCGATCAAGAAGCTCACAACATAAAATCTTCCTCTGAAGAAGGAAGAGATGTCGAGGATGAGCAAAATTCTCAGTCGGTTAAAATAGAAGAACTGGAAGTCCATCTCAATGCTATTGCCAATAGACGCAAGCTCCAAGATGAGAGAGTTGTTAGGCCTTATCCTGCCGAATAGGATGAAGCCCCTTATCCTCCAAAGTTTGAAGTTGCGACCTTACAAGCTTTTGATGGCACGAGGTCACCGAACTGACATATCTACTATTTAAAGTCATAGACTAGGAATGTGGTATCAAATGATGCCATATTGGCTCGGTTGTTCATCGGCACCCTTAAGGGGGTTATCTTTGAATGGTTTATGAAACTACTTGTAGAATATATCCAAAAGAAGGCGAAACTAGAGAGACTCTTCCTGTCAAGATTCCTCGAAGACGACATAGAAGTCTTCGTCCCTACCCTTCTTGCTACTAAGCAAAAGAAGGGAGAGCATATCAAAGTCTTTATCAAGAGATTCCGAAGCATAGCTCTTCAATGTTCGACAGGTATAATATAGTCTACATTGGTGGAAACCTGTTGACACAACCTGCAGACCAACCTCCTAGCCTAAATGGGGGTTATAGAGTGACGTTCCTGGGACAACTAGTTTCCCAAGGTGAACAGGCTCGAGAGATTATTGCCAGGCTCAAATTTGAAGAAGAAAGCATGGTTAAGACTGAAAATGATAAGGTCACAACACTATCAAGTTAATAATACACCTCTGATAGTTAAAGTCATTCGACATCATGCAGGCACATCATCCTTCCGGAGTGGGAGTTGGTTATTTGGAATTTATTAGAGTTGTCATCCTCCCCAAAGCAACTTATCAATCTTTCCTAGTAAAATGATAAGTCTACAAAACTATCAAGTTAACAATACACTTCTGATAGTCTATTTCCTCTAAATTCTCCTACCAATCCGCTTCAATAGGATGACGGGTCCATAAAACTATCAAGTTAACAATACACTTCTGATAGTCAATTTTCTCTAAATTCTCCCACCAATCCTCTTCAATAGGATGGCGGGTCCACAAAACTATCAAGTTAGCAAAACACTTCTGATAGTCTATTTCCTCAAATTTCTCCCACCAATCCTCTTCAATAGGATAGCGGGTCCACAAAACTATCAAGTTAACAATACACTTATGATAGTCCATTTTCTCCTAATTCTCCCATCAATCCTCCTCAATAGGATGACGGGTCTACAAAACTATCAAGTTAACAATACATTTCTAATAATCTATTTCCTCAAAGTCAACCGTTACCTCTGATAGTTGACTCTCCAACCCCTTGTGAAAAATAGTGGCCTACTATGTGATGTGCCTCTATTCCAATCACTGTCATCATACTTCCATGACGCTGAATGACTTGATTACTTTCACATAGTCATTCCTACAAATGACGTTGTTCATTGTTAGTGGCCTACCATGTGATGTGCCTCTATTCTGATCATAGTTGTTATACTCTAATGTTACTGAATGACTTGATGGATAGTGGCCCACTAGGCAACGTGTCCTATCTACCCCTTTTTCTTCCACTGCTAAGTCTCAGTCAAGACTGTGGGTTGATTATTTGTTATTTCTAAAATAGAATAACGAATTCTTAAAACTATTAAGTTAACAAAATACCTCTGACAGTATACGCACTTCAACGTGCATCACCACCAAAATCAACTAATCAATCATCTTCAATAGGATGATAAGTCCACAAAGTTGTTCAAACAGCAACAGAACCCCATCAAGTTAACAATACACCTATGACAAAACCAACTTATTGACTCTCTTCAATAGAGCGATAGGTCCTCAAAATCTTGTTCAAATCATAAGTACACAATTTCAATAAGTTAATACCACACCTCTAACAAAACCAACTTATCGACTCTATTCAATAGAGCAATAGGTCCTCAAAATCTTATTTAAATTACAAGTACATAATTTTGTTAAGTTAATATCACACCTCTAATAAAATCAACTTATCGACTCTCTTTAATAGAGAGATAAGTCCTCAAAATCTTGTTCAAATCACAAGTACACAATTTCGTTAAGTTAATACCACACCTCTGACAAAATTAACTTATCAACTCTCTTCAATAGAATGATAGGTCCTCAAAATCTTGTTCAAATCACAAGTATACAGTCTCATCAAGTTAATATTACACCTCTAATGACAAAATCAATTTATCAATCCTCTTCAATAGGATGAAAAGACCCCAAATTACTGTTATGTTAATATCATACCTCTAACAGTTAAACCCCCATGAACTTGGTCTTTTCAACAGAATGACAAGTGTTCATTGTCAAAGCGCGAGGATCATACCCACATTCTAAATTCCAAACGTGAGGGTCATTCTCGTGTTCCAAATTCCAAACGCGAGGGTCATCCTCGCGTTCCAAATTCAAAACGCGAGGGTCATCTCTGCGTTCCAAATTCAAAATATGAGGGTCATCCCCACGTTCCAAATTCCAAATACGAGGCTCATCCCCGTGTGCTAAATTCCAAACACAAGGGTCATCCCTGTGTTCCAAATTCCAAATGCGAGGGTCATCCCCGTGTTCCAAATTCCAAATACGAGGGTCACCCCCGCATTCTAATATCAAAACACGGAGGTCACCTCTGTGTTTCAAAGGCAATATGCGAGACTCACTTCCGCGTTTCACAAGACAAATGCGAGGCTTACCTCCGCTTTTTAGAAGCCAAACATGAGGTTCACCTCTACATTTCAGAAGCAGAAGCATGGTTCTCACCCTTGCATGTGTCTTGAGTAGAAAATCCCTTCAACTAAGTCTATGATACCTTCAAAAGGGATGTAGTGAACAAGTCTTCTATGATAAGGAACCAACAATTCTAAGATCAAAATTGAGATCCAAAGTATTTCAAAATTTCGTTCCAGTCAATCACGAACTTTTGAAAACTTTGGAGGGGGTTCTATAGGCTGTCAAAAAATTACTACAGATGATTGATCCCCACAAAGCACTGATGATGGAGGTTATGATCTAATGACCTTCACATCAACAGACGAAAGTTGCAATCTGATGACTTTCACGACAGTAACCGATGGGAGTTATAAATTGACGATTCTTACCACAACAAACGAGATTTACAAATTGACGACTCTTATGTTTTCAAGAGCCAAATTCAAGATGACGATCCTTGCAACACTCTAACAGAAGAGATTACAAGTTGATGATCTCTTCAAAGCAACATGCGGAAGTCATCACCATGTTCCAAGCTCAAAACCTGGAGCTCACCACCGCATTCCAAGTTCAACACGTGAAAGTCATCACCGTGTTCCAAGCTCAAAGCGTGGAGCTCACCACCGCATTCCAAGTTCAACATGCGGAAGTCATAACCGTGTTCCAAGCTCAAAATGCGAAGCTCACCACTGCATTCCAAGATCAAAACATGGAATTCATCATTGCATTCCAAGTTCAAAATGCGGAGTACACCACTACATTTCAAGTTCAAAACGTGGAGCTCACTATCATGTTTTTAGTTCTAAACGCGACAGTCGTTTCCATAACATGAATCTTGCGTTTGACTGATTCAAACACATTTTAAACGATTCCAAAATTATTTTTCATGAATTAAGGGCATTAAACCCTTATTAAGGAGCAATTTAAGGGGGTGGTTACACCCCTTAAACATCTATAAAAAGCTAAGAAGTCAACTACAAAAGGATCCTTTTTTGGATCATCTTGAATTGGCTATGGTTGGAGCTTTTGGAGCTTTGAAAACTTGGCTTTGAACCATTTTCGATTGAAGAACTGATCGGCTTATTCCAATTAAAAAGGATCAGTTACTTTTGTAAAATTAACTCTTTTACAGAGTTCTTAAACTCGTCCAGAGTTCTTAAACTCATTAAGCGTTCAGAACTTGCCTTGCAAGTTCTTCCCGATGTCAAGTCAAGAGAAATAGACTAACGTTCCACGAAGTGATGTGCTCGGATCATCAATAGGATACAAGAATCAAACTCCTATTGCCACTAAGAAGAATCCAGTTTTAAACAAAGAGAAGGATCTCTGTCAATCTTTCTTTCTATCTTTTGTAAATCGAGAAACCGATAAGAAAAATTATAATTTCTTTTTCTAAGTTAGTTAGAGAAACATTATTGTGAGAGATTATATTTACTCTTTTCCAAAGTCAGTTAGGGAGATTAATACAAATTCATTTCCTCTCATTTCTTCTTTAAATTTTTTCTGATAAACAATATACTTTAAACTTTTATGATCTGTGTACACCTCCACTCTCTATCCTAAAAGATAGTGCCGTCATAGCTTAAATGCAAAAATTACCGCCGCTAATTCCAGATCATGAACCAGATAGTTCCTCTCATGTGTCTTCAGCTGTCTAGACGCATAAGCTACTACCTTCGCATGTTGCATCAGAACATAACCTAAACCTAAACCAGAAGCATCCTATGCACTCTAAATCCTCCTGATTCATCCGGAATTGCCAAAACTGGTGTTGTCATCAACTTGTTCTTCAACTCCTCAAATGATGCTTGACACTCTTGAGCCCACACAAACTTGACCTCCTTCTGAGTCAACCTAGTAAGTGGTCCTGCAATCTTAGTAAAATCCTTTATAAATTTCCTGTAGTATCTTGCCACCCCTAAGAAACTCCATACTTCTATTACAGATGTAGACGGATCCAACCTCAACACCGCATCAACCTTCTTCGGGTCTACATTGATACCTGCTCCTGAAATTACATGCTCCAGAAAGGACACTTGCTCCAGTCAAAACTCACACTTGTTCAATTTTCCATAGAACTTCTCCTTCCGTAGGATTTCCAACACTGTCCATAGATGCTCTGCATGATCTTCCTTAGTCTTGGAGTATACAAGAATGTCATTGATGAACACTACTACAAACTAGTCGAGATACTAGGAAAACACCTTGTTCATCAAGCTCATAAATGTAGATGGAGCATTTATTTCTCCGAACAACATCATCAGGAACTCATAATGCCCCTACCATATGCGGAATGCGGTATTGGGTATGTCTTCCTTTCTCACCTTCAGCTGATGATAACCTGACCTGAGGTCCAACTTAGAAAACACCTTAGCTTCTCCGAGCTGATCGAAAAGATCATTAATCCTGAGAATTAGCTATTTATTTTTGACAGTAACTCGATTCAACTCCCTTTAGTCAATACATATCCTTCGGCTACTATTCGGCTTTGGCACTAACACCACTAGTGCTCCCCAAGGTGAAGTACTAAGCCTGATAAATTTCTTATCAAGATACTCTTGGATTTTCTTTCGCAACTGCTCTAAATCTGCTATCGGCATCCGGTAAGGTGGTTTTAAGATGGGTGCAACTCCTAGAATAAGATCGATGATGATCTCTATATCTCTATCTAGTGGCAGACCCGACAACTCATTAGGTAAAACATCAAGGAACTCCTCAACAATTTCTAGTATGGGCTTCTCCTTAACCTCCATACAGGTTAATACTCCATCCATGCCAGCTTGATATTCTGGCTGCTCCATCACTTTGCTACCACTCATGAATTCAAACTCTGGGTGATCTGGTATCTTGAACACTACGCTTCTGCGTCAGTAGTTGATCGTAGCATAGAAGTTGTAGAGTCAGTCCATCCCCAAAATAACATTGAACCTGTTAGTGTTAATAACTAACAAGTTTGCAAATAGCTCCCTACTATAAACTACCACTGGGCATTTCTTACTCTCCCTACTAGACAATAACACCCCGCTACTGGTATGGATATTCCAGCTTGCATCTAAATTATCACATAGTATAGTGTGTCATGCAATGAACTGAGCAGATATAAAATAGTGCGATGTCCCAGAATCAAAAAGGGTAAATGCAGGGACTTAATAAACCAAAATGATACATGTGACTACATCACCAGATGCGTCTTCCTGCCCAGCAGTAAGTGTCAGAACCTGACCTTGTCTCTGCTGCTGCTGAGCTTGCTGACTGTACTGTCCTGGGCACCTCTGCTGATACTGTGACTGCTATGAGTGCTGAAAATGGGGACCTCTCCACTGTCTCTGGCCTTGAAATTGTTGACCCCTCTGATATCCTCGAAACATCTATTGCTGTGTGGGAAGTGATGACCTTAGATGTTGTCCACTCGATCTAGTCTGGCCTGTTGGTACTATCGCTCTACCTGAAGTTCCTTCTGAAACTCCTCTACTAGGACAAGTGGTGAGCTGATGATCTGCCACCCTACATGCTAGGCACAAACCGTTAGCTCTTTTACAGTCCTTCATCAAGTGCCCCGACCTGCTACAAAAATGGTAAAACATGTTGGTTGGCTGCGAAGCTGGTCTCATAGTCCCTATCTGCTGGATCTTAGCCGGTGCTCCTCCTATTTGAGGCTTCTGCTAGTTACCTCCAGAGGTCTGTCCTACAAGGCGCTTGTTTTCCCCTCTCCTCACCGAGTTCGTGATCCCAATCAACTGTTCTACTCTCCGAGCTACCTCTAGGACATCAGCATAAGTCTCAATCCCCTTATTACTATAAATCTGAGTCTGGATCTCAAAATTTAGACCCTGCATGAACCTTTGTCCCTTATCCACCTCATTTACAAAAATGGTAAAACATGTTGGTTGGCTGCGAAGCTGGTCTCATAGTCCCTATCTGCTGGATCTTAGCCGGTGCTCCTCCTATTTGAGGCTTCTGCTAGTTACCTCCAGAGGTCTGTCCTACAAGGCGCTTGTTTTCCCCTCTCCTCACCGAGTTCGTGATCCCAATCAACTGTTCTACTCTCCGAGCTACCTCTAGGACATCAGCATAAGTCTCAATCCCCTTATTACTATAAATCTGAGTCTGGATCTCAAAATTTAGACCCTGCATGAACCTTTGTCCCTTATCCACCTCATTCGACATCATCCCCAGGGCAAACCTGCTGAGCTTAGAAAATTCTGCTACATACTCATCTACAGTACTAGCTCTCCATCTCACCATTAAAAACTACCTCTGCATCTCAAGACAAGCTATCTTTAAGGAAAATGTCTCTAGAAAACTCTCTCAGAATATCTCCCATGAAGTCGGCTTACGCAGCTTCTCCTCCTCTACGTCCCACCAGGTTCTGGCTACATTAACAAGCTGCAGCTATACAATATGCACTCGACCTTTATTTGGTATCTTTGTTGCCCTCAATAGGTGGTCCATAGTCTGCAACCACATCTCGACCTCATATCCGCCTTCTATCCCAATAAAGTATTGCGAGTTGAGCTTCTGAAAATTGGACATATTACTCGGCCTTGCAACCTGCTGTTGCCCATCCCTCTGGTGATTATGAGCTACCAGCTCTCTAATCACTTCCTGAAGATCAGCCGATCAACTTGGTGTGCCTTAGGGATAACTGGAGTAGGAGGTCGACGTTTTGGGGCCATAGTGATCTCCTAAAATAAAATTGGTCAAGATTAGGACTTGAGAATCAAGGTACTGGGAGTAAAAGGTCCTATTTCTGAAAAGGAAAGAACTCATTCTATGCATACTTTATTTTTGGCCCAATCTTAGTTTTTCCTTGTATACAGGACGAGACAACAATTCAAAAAACCTAGCTCTGATACTAATAAAAACCTTGTCATGCTTCGGTTCTAAAATATAATAACTTGGAATATGACTCGGTCGACAATGCAATCATACAGTCACATTCATGACTCTAGATCATCATGTATATAGATATAAAGCCAAAACTACACCATAGAGCATGTGCTTAGATAACAAAGAAAAATAGATAGATAAATAAATCTCTAAAAAACTGAGTTCTACTACAAGTCCACAACTATCCATAGTAGGAAAGAGGAAAAATACATCATAGTCTGGAGAACCACATGTGATTACAGAAAAAGTTTCTATTAATTCTCCACTTTATTTTTCTTAGGTAGTTATTTTATTGTAACTTTTCCTCTTCTCATGCAGACAACGTTTGATCTCATGAGATCGAGGTGAGTGGAGGGGGGTTGTAGTTCGCGTTGAATGATGGAGACGATGAGTCGGCGGAGAACCCTAGAGAAGACCCTCCCGCTTCCTCTTCTACTACTCCTGGCCCTGCCGCTCCTGCAGAGGACCTCCCAAGCCTTACTCCCGGATATGGTCGAGAGATCTGAGGACTTGTATCTTTTTTTCTTTTTGTAAATATCAACATGCCTTTTGTAAATATTGACATGGATACTGTAATAAAACTTGTAATAAAGTTTGAGATTTGGACTAAAGATTAACTTTGCTCTCATTTTGGAGTCTGCCTTCAATTATTTCTTATTTTTGCTTTGTTTGCTTGTAGCTTTGTTCTGGTTGAGAGAACAAGTGTGGATAGTTATGAGTTGGCTGTGTTGGGATGACCCGAGTGTTGAGGGGTCAAGACGACTAGCTCATTTTACGCCTTATGTTAGCAAGGTGTCTGGGTCTTTTTGTTAAAGAAGACCTACAAGTTAGAGCGCCTAGGGCTTATTAAAGACACCTATGTCTTTTCGGCAAAGTGACAACCCTGAGCCTGGTTGCCCAGGACTTACGTAGATGCCTGGGTCTTTGGCAAAATGACAACCCTAAGGTTAGGTGCCTAGGACGAAACTGGAGCTTTTTGGCAAATGATAACCCTGAGGTTGGGTACCCAGGATTTACGTAGATGCCTAGGTCTTTGGTAAAATGATAACCTAGAGGTTGGGTGCCAAGGATGAAACTGGGGCTTTTCGACAAATGATAAGCCTGAGGTTAGGTGACCAAGACTTACATAGATGTTTGGGTCTTATCACAGTTGTGTTTGGAAAAATGACAACCCTGAGGTTAGGTGCCCAGAACGAAACTAAGATTATTTGGCAAATGACAACCCTGAGGTTAGGTACCCAGGACGAAACTAGGGCTTTTCGACAAATGACAACTGTGAGGTTGGGTGCCCAAGACTTATGTAGACACCTAGGTCTTATCACCCTGCCATAATGGTTAAGTGGCAATTGTGAGAGTCGACCATATAGTAAGTGTGACTTGGGTTTACATTGAGAAGGCACCAAAGGATTAGAATTCATGCATAGATTTGGCACTACGGGAGTGCGAAATAGGAGTCAAGTCAGTTTCAATAATAATTCCATTAATACTGAATGAAATTTATAGAATTATTGAAAATATCACCTTGAGTGCTTAACATTCTAGGGATGTTGTAGGACTCTCCCGTCTAGGGCGCTTAGTCGATAGGTGCCTGCTCGCAGATCTTCTAAGACTGTACGTGCCTTCCCAGTTAGGAGCTAGCTTGCCTCTCTGGGTATCTTTATTGAAAGAAGCTTTGCAGAGGATGAGGTCACCAGCGTTGAACCTCCTTGATTGGATCTTACTATTGTAGTAGCGGGCGATTCTTTGCTGATTGGTGACTTGGGTCCGGAGCACCTTCTCTCGGGTCTTGTCTAGGAGATCGATCCCAACCCAAAGCCCTTCCGAGTTTAATTCCTCGTCAAAGTATTGTAGTCAGATGGTTGGCATGCCTACTTCGACTGGAGTGACTATCTCGGCGCTATAAGCTAGCATGAATGGAGTCTCCCCAGTTGAGTCCTTATGAGTGGTGCGGTACGACCAGAGGATACTAGGCAACTCCTCAACCCAGTTCCCTACTATAGTGTCCACCTTCTTCTTCAATGCTTGGCGGATGCATTTGTTGATAGCCTCTACGAGTCCATTAGATTTGGGATGGGTGACTGAGGAGAACTTAAGGTGAATGTTGCATTGCTAGCAAAAGCTCCGGAAGCCCCTGCTGTAGAACTGGGTATCGTTGTTAGCCACGAAGGACCTGGGCACACTAAAATGAAAAACAATGGACTTCCGTACAAAACTCATGACGTTACTCTCACTTACTTTGGCCAGTGGTTCGGCTTCAATCCATTTGGTGAAGTAGTTAATCGCCACAATGAGAAACTTCCTCTATCCCGAAGCTAGGGGAGAGGACCCAGCAAATCTAGCCCCCATTGAGCATAAGGTACGGGACTCAGAATGGAAGTTAGTTTGGTGGACACTACTCGTGGGATGGACGAGTAGAACTGACACTTCTTGTACTAAGAGACAAGTCGCCTTGACTCAGCTAAGATAGTTGGCCAGTAGTACCCTTGGCAGATGACTTTCTGTGTGAGGGTTCGGGTGCCCTCATGAATCTCCCTAAGAGCATAGATGGCCTCTAGCGACCAAAGGCACCACAGATAGGGACCTACACCACTGCACAAGTATGACATTTGATAGAGCTGTTCATCGATCATGAGATAGCGGTGAGAGTTCCTTCGTAGACGCCTGGCTTCGACGGGATCTTCGAGAAATGTACCATGTGTTAGATAAAGAACAATAGGGTCCAACCAATAGGGCATGATAGGTATCTTAGTCTCCATGATGCTCTCTGGTGACTTGGAGATGCTGAGTCGCTCAAGGGTGTCGATGTAGACAGGACCCAAGCTGATTCTTGAGCTTGTCGACCCAAGCTTGGAGAGGGCATCTGCCCTAGTGTTGAGACTATGAGGAACTTGAGCTATCTTAAAATCCAAGAAACTAGTCAAAAGCTCGTTAGCATCTTTGAGATATAAGGCCATTCACCTGATAGATGACCAACTGCGAGTCGGCCAAGATATAGAGACACTCTGCCTTGAGTGCTTGTGCCACTCAAAGGCCTGCAAGAAGAGCCTCATATTCAACTTTATTGTTTGAGTCCGAGAAGTCAAAAGAAATGGAGTGCTCGTACGTCAACCCGTCGGGGCTGCGCAGGACTACTCCCGCTCCACTACCGGCTTCTTCGGAGGACCCGTCCACCTTTAACAACCACATTGAGGAGAATTTGGGTGAATCGTGTTCTAGAGTGTAGCAGATCTATGGAGTAGATGTTTGGACTGTTGGAGGTGCTGGCTAAATTGACGGGGAAGGTGCGTCTGGCTCGTCGCCTGGCGAGGTCGACTTAATCAGGAAGTTGGCCAAGGCTTGGGCTCTGATTGTCATCCTAGATTCAAACTGCACATCATGTTCGCTGAGTTCGACTATCCAGGTGACCATTCTCCCAAAGGTTGTGGGGCTGCCCAGTGCTTTCTTTAAAGGTATACTTGTCCGTACAATGATGGTATGGTCCTAAAAGTAAGGGCGGAGTCTTCTCACAGTGGTGATGAGGACGAAGGCAGCCTTCTCTATGAGGGGATAGTTGAGCTCATCCACTTTTAGAATTTAGCCCACATAATAAACAGGCATCTAAATGTTCTTTTCTTCTTGAACAAGGACAGAGCTGACAGCTTCAAAGGAGACGACCATGTATGAGTATAATATCTCTCCCCCTATGTGTTAGCTTAGCAGTGGCGTGGTACTTAAGTGGGCCTTAACATCCTGAAAAGTTGCACTACATTCAGCCATCCATGTCATGCTCTCCTTCAAGTTCTTGCTTCCCCTTAGAGTTTTAAAGAATGGGAGGCTCCTCTCAGTAGATTTGGAGAGGAATTGACCCAGTGCTGCTATCTTTCCATTCAGCTTCTGGATATCCTTCAGGGTGCGCGGCTCGGGCAGTCGCTCTATGTCATCCATCTTCTCGAGGTTGATCTCTATGCCTCTCTGGATGGTCATGAACACCCATGAACTTTCCCGATTGCACCCCAAAGGCACATTTGGTGGGATTAAGCTTCATTCAGTAGCACTAGAGGGTAGAAAAAGTCTCGTCTAGGTCAGATATGTAGGCCGACGCTTGCTTCGACTTTACCAACAAGTCGTCTACATAAGCTTCCAGATTGTGGCCGATCTGGTGCTTGAAAACCTTGTTGACAAGTCTCTAATATGTGACTCTGGCGTTCTTCAATCCGAATGGCATCATCTTGTAACAGTATGTCCTCAAGTTGATGATGGAGGAGGTCTTCTCCTAATCATGCTCTACCATGAAGATCTAGTTGTAGCCGGAGAAGGCATCCATGAAGCTAAGCAGCTCATGTCCGGTACTTTCATTGACTAGTTGATCGATTTGA